TCATACTCTTCGCAATCAGACACACTTGCAAATTGGAGGTTTTTGGTCGCTAAAATCTTTTAGATCTCTAGATCTTTTAGATCTGTTAGATCTTTAGCTCTTTTAGCTCTTTTAACTCTTTTAGATCTTAAATTTCATGGATCTAAAAGAGCTAAAAGCCAGTGCTCCCGACTGGTAAACCAGGCTCTTAGCCAGTCGGCCATGACGGCCTTTAAGCCTCAGCCAGGCCATGACGGCCTTTAAATTTTTCGGTAAAACACATTTCGGTATTTTGAGCGTGCAGTCACCTAATCGTTACTGTTTTACTGATAATTCAAAGAGGAACTCAACTATTATAATCATTCGATAGCCCTGAATCTTTTCTTACCTTCTTTTCTTAATTCTTACAAAATTATCGTAAAACTTTCTGCAAAATACGTAAAAAGATACCTTAAAAACTTGAGTTTACACTAAAAACAATGGTTATTAGTACAAATCGTTGACATTTATTGGTAATAATGCGGTATAAACAAGATAAAAGCAAAGCCTAAGTGTAGGAAAATCAAGAAATGGAAAAAAGAACCAATCAGCTAGCCGATGGGATTGAACCGGTGGATCCAGATCTAGAACTAAGATCCAGGGCTCCCGACTGGTAAACCAGGCTCTTAGTCGATAGGTTCAATCCCACCGGCTAGCTTAGGCTTAGGCTTAGGCTCAGGCTTAGGCTTAGCTGAAGATCAAGCTGAAGATTGTTCCAACCATAGAGCCTGAGTCTGAGCCTAAGCCTAAGCCAAAGCCAAAGCCTAAGCCAAAGCCTAAGCCTAAGCCAAAGCCTAAGCCTAAGCCTGAGCCTAAGCCAAAGCCTAAGCCTAAGCTTAAGCCTGAGCCTAAGCCTGAGCCTGAGCCAAAGCCTAAGCCTAAGCCTAAGCCTGAGCCTAAGCCTTGACCATGACGGCCTTTACGACCTTCTTTAACTTACAATATATGTTGCTTGTTGAACGATAAAAGCCGGATAGACAGATTGGTTCTCGCGAAACTCTTTGAATCGTCTTTGCTCGGTTTCATTGAAAGTTAGCCAATATTTAGCGATGAATCCATTGAAAGTCCACTGTTGGAGTTCGCATTCGACAAAAGAGCCGTTTCTTTAAAGAGATTTTATAGTATTGATTTGCCTTTTGATTGTTGCCCTCGGAAACCCACCTTTTCTGCTCTACTTACTTTATTTTCTAACTTTTTCCACTCTGCTACAAGAAAAAGCAAAAGATTTCCACTTTTTGAGGACAAAGTACAGAAAAAACAATTGGTTGGGTAAATCTGCGCTTAAAATTTACTGGATCAGTTCAAACTAGAGTCTGCGTCTTGTAAAACGCGCCACAAACCACCGTAATCCCGTCTTTAAATCAATTTTTATCTAATCTATCATAATTAGATACAAGATTAGATAAAAAGATAGAGCAGGATTACGATAATCGAGGCAATTCACATGTTTTAGAAAAGGTGTGGTCGAGAGAAAAGGATTTTAAAGTTAATTTGGCTGAAGTACTGGCTTTCTTCTAGTTTAAGCTTTGACAAATGGCAAACTGTCAAGAGTTAGCAGCGTCTAGAGTTAGCAGCGTCTAGAGTTAGCAGCGTCTAGAGTTAGCAGCGTCTAGAGTTAGCAGCGTCTAGAGTTAGCAGCGTCTAGAGTTAGCAGCGTCTAGCTAATTTGGCTGAAGTACTGGTACTAGTTTTGTTAGGACTCTGTTGCGGTTTCAGCAAAGCTTAAGCGATTAATTTACAGCGCTGGCTGAGCCGGCCAAATGCTATTTGAAAAATCACAAAGGAAATCCAAAGTGCGGATCGAACTTGCGAGGTCTCGCTCTGGAAACAAACGCTGTACCACCGGTCCCACCGAGGGCCCGCGAGAAGGCCGTTAAGACCCAAATGATCACACTCCACAATCACACTCCACAATCACACTCCACAACCACACTCCACACTCCACAAATGACCGCAACAGAGTCCTAACAAAACTCTAGACGTTGCTAACTCTTGACAGATTGTCATTTGTCAAAAACGGAACAGATATTCGAAATCAGCATCATACTCTGCGTCGAATGGGATAGACTGTATAGCATTTGATCTTAACGGCCTTCTCGCGGGCCCTCGGTGGGGCCGTGGCCAAGTGGTACAGCGTTCGTTTCCAGAGCGAGACCTCGCAAATTCGATCCCCCAGCCAGTTAATCTTCCCTAAGGAATCCAGAACTGATCTCCAGAGTTTTCCAGAGTCTGAAACTGGGTAAAAACCGCCGAAAAGCCAAAGTAATTCTTAAGGTGAGATTTTTGCGTTTAAAACTCACATATCACTTTTCGATGTATCATAAATACATGCACTTGATTGCCATCTCCCATCTCTCATTTTCATTTTCAATCGCGGTGCGGGTAAAGCAAAAGTGGAGGTGAAATACTCATTTTTCACCCAATTTTTCTCATTTTTAAAAGATTTCCAATAAAAAATTGATAAAAAACAAAGAAATAGAAAGATAGCGAATCTTCGAAGAATCATTTTGGCTAGAATTCTATCTCTAGCTGGGGATTTTTTGATTAAAAGTCACGCTTTTTCCAGGGGAAAACGTGGTGATTGAAAAAAATATGAAAAGCAAAACGGAAAAAGTTTCCAATAAACAGACATTATACAATTTTTGATTCATTTTATATCTGATGAAAAATAAAAAATGGTCAATAGGTTTTTTGGACAAATTGACGGTGTCTAAAAGTTTAGAAATCTTTCTTTTATATGAAAATTTTCTTTTTTCTCTCGATTGCCCATCAAAAATGTTGTCAAAAATGTCAAAAATACTTTTTCAAAAAAGTTTTCCACGTAATTTTTATCGAATCTTTTAGATTTTAAGAAAAATACCAAACAAACTTCGGTTTTTTTCAGCTTTTTTTATTAAATATTGAATAAAAACGTTTAAAAAGCGTTAAATAAAATATTCGATTCAAGTTCGTTACTAAATATTGGGTTGGTGAATTGAAAACTGCCGGACTTTGAACTAAAATCTATTCAACATAAAACCATGAATTCATTCCAAATAATTTCCATTATTATTGACGATTTCTGCCCATTTTACAGGCAATTTGCGGATTCCTCTTTCGTGGTAGGATTTTGGTTTGTGTGTGAGACAAGTGTGAGACTCAAAAATCGAGGACTGGAGATGTCCCAGTTTGAGCACTTTCTTCAGAAGAAACCCATTTTGGTGTCAATAGAAAAGTTGTAGAGAATCAAAAATTAGGCTTATAGCCAAATTTCCAAAAAGATACACTTAGTAGTTTCGCTTAAAATGCAAGTTTTGTTGGAAGTTTTGTGAAAACTCGCAAATTTGGCATTTCTTGAAAACCAGTTTTTGAATCGTTCTGAAAATTTGGATATAAGCCTAATTTTTGATTCTCTACAACTTTTCCATTGACACCAAAATGGGTTTCTTTTGAAGAAAGTGCTCAAACTGTCATATATGACAATAGCCGCTAGTCTTCAATTCACCAACCCAATAGAAATTGATTGCTTTCTCATTTTAATACCAAATTTATCAATAAAACAAAAAGCAGCAAAAAAAACAAGTAAAACAATACTTTCAATCGAATCTGACAAAGCAAATGATTTGAAAACAAAAAAGAAACGACGACGCGGCGCTCCCATCAACTACCTGCAAATGGCGGCGACGTCAATTGGAATGCAACGTTGTGCGAAAATTAAGCTTTAAAAGGGAAATCTTTTTGGAAATTTGGGTATAAGCCTAATTTTTGATTCTCTACAACTTTTCCATTGACACCAAAATGGGTTTCTTTTGAAGAAAGTGCTCAAACTGTCATATATGACAATAGCCCGCAGTTTTAAAGCCAATAGCTTAAAAGCTACTATTTTCTATGATACCGTATTTTCCCTAATAGTAGTGCACCCTGAGCGTCACCTAAATTGCTCGAAATCTCGAGAACCGCTTATCAGAACCTATCCATGTGGGGTCGGAAAATGTAGCTGACGATGAGATCTAGTGGGGGATTAGAGTGTTGAGCTTCTGCAAAAGCTTGGAAACCGTAAAATAGTCACCAACTCGGCTGCACTACTATTAGAGAAAATACGGTATTTTTCATTGAGCTAAAACAAAATCCAATTTTTAAGCTCTCGCCAACTTTGTGAAGGTGACAGAACTTTTCGCGCCCCCGTACAGTAGCTGGGCACGCTTTAGAAGCCTTTACTTTAATAACATTATAAAACTGGTTAAATTTAGTACTTAATCTCCAAAAATTCAACCATTTCTAGGTACTCCGCAGCCGGCGCTGTGCAAGAACAGTTGGAGAGATTGTACGCAAAAGAGGCTCCATTGAGGGAACTTCTCGTTGAGAGGCTTGATGCATTGCAAAAGACTAAATATCAAGATGCACAAAAGTTTGTTGTTTGCAAAGTCGATGCTTTCATTGACAATTCAACCATATTATCTTCTTCCCTTCAGCCTAAAAGACAAGTTCGACGCTCAGCTCCAGGACGCTGTCGATCTCGAGCGATTGCGCAAATTTTTCACCAAAGCTGAGGTAATTTCGATAAAATTTTCGTATTTCAAGATAAACATCAAAAAATTTTTAGATGGAAAAACTCGAGGAGATGCAAAAAAGCGAACGAGGATGAACTGGCGAGAGATTGAAATATATTGGAACAAGAACTTTTTGTCTACAATAAATTCATGAGTTTTACCATGTTCTACACAGACATAAGTATTGAATTGACAAAATTTAGCAACTCTGCTTCTGAACAGAGCGATGTTGCCTTGAACAAAGATTTTTCACTAATACCAGAAGCTTTTCACTAATACTAGAAGCTTTTCACTAATACTAGAAGCTTTTCACTAATACCAGAAGCTTTTCACTAATACCTAGAAGAGTCAACTTTTGGTCAGTAACACTTGTATAGTGCACAAATCTTGAAAATAATCATTTATTCAGCAGAAAAGCAAAATACTGCAATAGTTAATTCATTAAAGATTTTAATTACTTTTGTCATCATATTGTTGTAGGGAGAGACGTTTTCCAATATTGGACAGTGTTGGAGTCTCCACAAATATCAAATTCCTATCGCTGTCAAAGGTGTCCTCGAGCAACTGAACTTTTTATTGCCTAGAAAAGAAGACTGCCAAGTTTACTTTGTTTCGATCTCGTGTAATCAATGTCGATGGCCTCATCCTTGCCAAGCTAACGCCAGTCTCTTCGCGGGGCGGATTGTCAGTGAAAAGCCACAAACGGAAATCCATTCGAAGTCTCTGAAGTAAGACAATGTTTGAGAATAAATAAGAAAAGCTTACATTTTCCCCTTCCGCACCAAAAACCCGACTTGCCACAAATTGGTAAAGCTCTTCCAAGTTCATCTTTTTCTTTACCTAAATCAATTGATTAAAACGATTGCCATCAACCGGTACCTTTTCTTTCTGGCACTCGTCTTCAAGAAGTCGTACATCGAAAAGGTCAAAGCCGTGATGATTTTGAAATTTCTCTTCTCGGATCAACTAAAATGGAGCAATTTTATCTTTGATGAATATTTCAAACCATGATCTCCGTGAACAAATGAGTCTCTTGTTTCTCCTTCTTGCGATAAGCCTCCTCATTCCGTTCGGCCTCAAATCTTTGTCGAAGATGAATTGGGATGTCGTTATCGTTGATCGTCGAAAAGGACCTCGTCTAAAGTATTTAATGATTGCTAATCCGGTTGTGCGAACACTACCTAAGCATGATTGCCGAATGTATACAAGCATGTAAGCGTTGGTGTAAATTCGCCCGGGCGTCTCCAAATCTTCTCCTCCATAATTTGCTGTGACGGCGTCTTTGAAAGATGATCGCGAGACCACATCGTCGTCAAATTTGCACCACTAAAAGCACAATAGATAAATTTTGTTAAACCAAAATATATTTTAACGTTCAATCATAACATACACAGGAATGAGGCTGATTGAGCTTAGTGTTGATGAAGACCACGTAATGCCCGCCATGAAAATCGCCGGAGTGAACAAGAACGGCATGGAGCACATAGGTAAAATCGTTGTCTTCGCTTCGGTTGTCCGCAAAATCGTTGAGATTCAGGCGCTCCGGGAATTCAAGTCTAAACAAAAAAAGATTACAATAAAAAGCTGAAATTTTTACCGATCATTTATTTTCACATTTGCATCAATGGCCGCGTCGTATTGAAACCTCATGAGCTGAAGATGTAAAATTGGTGGAAAGCTAAAATCATAAGAAAATATTTGGGTTAAAATGTTGGCAAAACTTACGTCAAGAATTTGACTCCTTTCTCTGCAGGTTGCAATCCGTAAGCGCCAGCATCATACTTGTTCTCACCGTCCAATCTCTCCGAGTCCACATAATCACGGAATGATTGCAAGACTGAATTGAGATGTTTTAAAAAAGTTTCAACAACTGTCATTGTTGTCAAAAAACTTACTGTCATTGTTTCCTTTGACATTCAATTGCACATCGTAAAAGTCATCCACATGCGAGCTCTCGTAGTCAACGTTGATGCAGCGAATGAAAGATTTCATCTTGCCACGGAAAAGTTGTGGAATGGTGCCCTCGACCTAACAAAATGTGTAAGTGCATTTTTGTGAATTGCTACCTTTGTGCCTTTCATCTTGCTTTCCAAGTTATCCAGCAGCACGCGGCACAGTTCTTGAACGTCGTGCTGAAGAAACGAATCGAGTGAATCCCATCCAAAACTTTTCGTAAGTTTCTTCGTCCCAACCTGAACAACGTGTTATTAAAGTTGAGTTTAAAATTTCTTACCGGTTTGTCAGAATATTGGAGGTCATAAAATACTCGTTGCATTGCAAGAGCTACTGAGGATTCTGAGTCATCTTCTTCGGTTGGCATTTCATAAACAGCCTAAAATTTACTTATTGAATTTGAAACATTTGAAAATCTTCACTTTTCGCAGTTGATTTGTGAAGAAAAACGCTTGAAGTAATGAGTTCATATAGCAAGTTGCACCCTGATTCTTTAAACCAATATAACCCGCATGTTTTTTCGAATCCCATCTGAAAATGCTGATTTAAAAAAGAAAGGAAATCTTTTGACTGACTGGACTCCGTGAGGGGCATCGGCAGAAACGATTACTTCGAGTTTGATTGTGTCGTTCAAAATATACCCGTTATCTGGATTCAGTAGTTGCTAAAGAAAATATTTGCATTCAAAACAAAAGTATGACATACATCACAGCTCATGAACTGCGAGTAGCCCCAATCGTTCTCCTTTGGATAAAAAGTGTGCGAGATCCGGCGCACATGGGATTCACCTCCGCATTGATTCACGACCTAAATGTAGAGATAAGTATTTTACAGCTTATAAGCTCAGTTTAACGACAATTGCAAGAGCTTAAAAATAAAAACCCACGGGGCCCCCGACATAGATGAAAACCATGAAAAATTCGAAATTTTTTGCATTTTTGCTCTTTAAGATCTAATTTTGCTCTCTTCATGTTCTGGACACTCAATTAACCCAAAGAACTCAATTTTCTAGTACACTGTAGAGGCGGTGACTTCGGGTCTCCGAAAGTCGGTTTAAAACGCTTTTTCTCAAGCTCTCACTATGAAATTCGTAATCTACGCAAAAAAAACTGCTCTAGAAAAAGCACTTTTGAAAAAAAAAAAGTTGCCTCCCAATCCCAAAAGTATCACCGTTCCCAACTTTGAAAACAAAAGCATTTAGAGCTTTCTAAAGCTTAACAACCATCATAAATCTTATTCAAACGATTCTAAATGAAAGCAAAAGCCAAATCATACCTCAACGATGTGCCTGCGTCATTCGCATCTGCTTCCAGTGCTCGCCGTTCTCCATGCGCCGAGCCCAGTTCAAGTAGTGATCGGGCGGCAATCTGTAAACCATTGAGAAAATGAATTGGAGTCAGTAACACTGAATAAACAAATTCGCAAATAACAGATTACTAACAGAATACCTTGAAGGTGTTAAATTATATTCTTAATTCTGATATGTAAAGACTTTTATTGGTTAAAAGCATCAAAAGAGTTTGAGAAGCTGCAGAGATTTGAAAGAGTTTGAAAAACAAGAACAATAAAGTAGTTCAATCAATCAGAAAGCTAGGACTTCTGGTTTTGCTTTGCTGCAGATCTGTCCACAAGAGTTGATTTGTCAGAGGCCAGGTCCGGATTTTGGCTTAGGCTTACAATTAGACTGTCCAAAAAAGGCTTTTTATTCCTTTTCGTACTTCAGTTTAAAGCCAAATGCACCAATTAAAATACGCTTATTTATTTTTGTTTCATTAAAAAGGTCAATTATTTTTCTGAAGCTTTCAACGAATCAAAAATTCAAATTCAGTCTAAACCTTGGTGTTGATGGATCTCTTGCTTTAATTCAACCTCTACTTTGTGTTTTTCGGGGGGGTTTGTGGAGGAGATGGGTGATAAATGGAAGAGTGGAGGAGTGGAGGAGTGGATGGAATGGGAGGAGTGGATGGAATGGGAGAAGGGGTGGAAGGGGAAGGGGCATCCATTGGAAGGGGCATCCATTGCACCCTTCTCATTCTTTTCCATTCTCGAATCTCCCCCGGGGATTCCTCTCCCATCACTCCTGTTTTGAAACAAAGACTTTTCTTTTCTCCTTCCCCAATATCCACCAAATTTTGTGTATTGCTAGTGCTCTTTTGTCAGAATTCTACTCAAAACTTGCTGGCTTTTCATCGATTTCTATCGTTTTCAGCTTTCTACCCTAGAAAGAGAGAGTTTACGTTTCAAATCTTGAGCACAAAGTACACCTTTGTGCTCAAGATTTGAAACGTAAACTCTCTCTTTCTGGCAAACTTTGTTTAGCTATTAGTACAAGAGTTTCTCAACTGTGTTTCCAACTTTCCAACTGTGTTTCCAACTTTCGAAAACTCGTAATCTGGCCTTTTGTTTTTCAATTTTATGTTTTTAGTATTAAAGGGATTGGATTGGAGGCTAGGATTGGACTTAGATCTAATATTCAAGGCTAATTGTAAGCCAAGTCTTGGCTTTGACTTGGATTTGGCTTAGCTTTGGCTTGGCTTTGACTTAGCTTTGACTTAGCTTTGACTTGGATGTAGCTTGACTTTAACTTGACTTGGCTTTTCAGTCAGTACAGGTTACTGTAAGCTACATTGGAGGAAAATAAAGCAAGACTGCGGTAGTTTTCAAAAAATGGAAACGTTTTAGTAAAAACAAATTACTCGACGGAAAACGAGCTTCAACAAATTTGTTTTTATTAGCCAGACAAGTGACTTCCGGGTGACTACTTCTTATCACTAATCACTAGGATGTAGGAGTGTGTACAGTACTTTATACTTTATACTCTTTTAGATCTATTTCATCTATTTCAATTTCAATCTAAACAAAAAACCCACTTCTAAATTTCCCACTTTGAAAGAAACTCCGAAATTCGGTTTTCGTTTTTAGCTTTTTTTTGGGACTTCGGGAATGGGTTTGTTTCAAAAAAAAGAAACCAAAAAACGAAATGGAATCGAGAAAGAGAAGATTCGTGCATAAAAACATGGGAATTGAAGGAATTGAAAAAAATGAGTGTGCCAAAAAGGGTGTTTTTTGAGTACAAAGTGCGGAATAAAAATCCCATTTTATTTTGTGCCAAAAAAATTTCTTTTTTCAATATCTCTAAGGATTTTCTTTTACTGATCCTTTTACTCCGCGAGAATACAATTTCCGTTTTAAATCTGTCTTTAGAAAGATCTATTTTTAGGAAAGATGAGTGAGTACACGTTACCGACGGATCGATATGGAAGCACCTATGTGGTAAGGAAATCTTTGTGTACTTTGTGCTCAATTGTTTCTCGTTCACTCAGCTTTACATTCTCTTAAACAAAGGAGAATTTAGTATGCTAGAAAGGGTGGGTTTACGTTTCAAAGTTCACAAAGATCTTCAAAAAATGAAAACGGGGTTAAAGGCATCCTAAAACTTCCGGGTTAAAGGCATCCTAAAACTCTTTTCAAATTCTACTTATCATAAGCCATTTTTGAGATACGAGCTATTTCTATTATATTTAAGCTTTTGCCAAAAAAAAAGAAAATGTTTGACCTGAGAGGGATTCGAACCCTTGACCTCTCGCACTTGGTGCAAGCGTGCTAACCACTCGGCCATTAGTGCTAACCACCAATGGTTAGCGGGGGGAGGCCGTCTCTCGCCCACACGACCCGGGTTCGACCCCGCATGTGACCATTGATGTTTTGCTTTTTTTCTGAAATAGCAAAAAGTCATAATAGCGTAAAATTCTATTAAATACATGTTTCAGCGTTTTTCAAAATACTCAAAATACGCTGTAGAGCGGTCATGAAAAGACTGACATCTCGTAATTATATAGTAAAGATAAGCCTTCTAAGTTTTGGCCAAACAGGAAGCTAACCTATTCAAGGTTGTCGCAAGCCGATCGGTGTGCTCTGTAGTCTAGTGAATAGTTTGTTTTAGAATTGGCTATCGACATTGGCAATATTTTTCGAGTAGTCGCGCAAAAATCTTCTAACTTTTACACAGAGCACTTAACCCATTCGAAACCGCAGCGTTTTTTCTTTTTTTTTTCGTCTACGGACCAAGCCCTTTTTTTGACATTTTTTGACTCCGAAGCAGTTTATTTATGGTTGGAAAGATGTAAGAGAGTCTCCTAAACCATTTATTTTTGATGAAGAACGATTTGGATTTGACTTCAGTACTTTTCAAGATCCTATCGATTATTGTTCTTATTTTATCGACGACAATATTTTAGTAGGCGAATCTAATAAACATGGAAAAAGGAAAACAAACTGGCAGGATTTCGATGCAAAATCTTTCAAGCTCTTCCTGGCTCTGTATCTTCAAATGGGAATCGTCAAATTACCGAGGATTCGTGACTACTGGAGTAGCAGGCCTGGATTAGGAGGATTTTCCCACATGTCCCCATTATGTCAAGAGCAAAATTTGAATCTATTCTTCGCAACCTGCGTTTTTGTGATAATGAACTGGATCCTGCAGGAGATCGGCTTTATAAGATTAGAGCTATTACGGAACATTTCAATGCAAAACCAGAGACTGCATTGATTCCGGGTAAATATGAAACATCTTTTTTGCCCACGTAATTTGTAGATCTGCTACAATTGGAATATACATGTAATGCTGAAAAACAGCAAAAAAAAGCAATTAATTGAATGAAAATAGCTCAATTAGCACTGCAGCGAATAATCGCTGCAGCGGTCCGTTCCTGAGTTTTTGTTGCAGCGATTATTCGCTGCAGAAGTTTCGAATGGGTTAAATGCTCTGAAACTTTTATCATTGGAAAGCCAAAAGTTTAAGCTTTATTTTGGTATCTAATACTTAAAAGAACACGCAAAAACGCAGCTCTAAAAACCTAATCGATACGCTATCGAGACCTTATCGATAATCGATAGCGTTCGATAAGGTTTTTTTGAGATGCATTTTTTTTGGCAGTACTTATTAGGTATCAAAATGAAGCTTGAACTTCTGGCTTTCTATTGGTAAAATTTTCAAAGCATTTAGAGTTAAAATCACAAAGAGATGTCTGTTTTAACGCGAGCACTTCAAAATTTCGCTAGCCAAGTCTAGCACGTCGGTTTTTTTTTCGTCCACTGTTGACCAGACTTCTGTTTTTTTGTAGAAAAACACTAGAAAATGACTTTTTTTTGATCATTTAACTCTTAAATAATATTCTTTGACATAAAAAAGTCCAACTTTTGAATAATTGACCTAACAGCCTTTTAGCCTGAAATATAACTTCAAGAGGTTTCCTGGTTAGCTAGATCAGAAGCCAGGCTAAGTCTCGCTAAGCTAACAATTAAATTTCTCTAGTAGCAAAGTCTTGTTGCAAGTACAGAGTGGGCCAAAATTACCCGTACATATAAAAAGTCTCTGTATAAAAAGCAACTCAAAAATTTCTCTTAAAAATAACTTTTATTGTCTCATTTTATTTGATTTTATACTTTTATTGTCATCAAAAATTCATAAAAACTATTCCTTTTCAAAGAGATCTCCAATAACTTTTACACAAGCGTCCAAACGTCGTAGAAAAGCGTCGATCGTGGCGTATAGGAGAGCAGGTATAGGAGTATAGGAGCTAGTCTATTCAAGGTTGTCGCGATCGGTGTGCTCTGTAGTCTAGTGGATAGTTTGGGAGAGCAAGGTATAGGAGAGCTCTTCCCAAGCCTTTTCGAGCACTTTTTTCAAACTATCAACAATTTTGTGTGGTTGATAG